ACACTCTAGTCACGGCTCTCAACCCTCGCCTTCAACAGATGGCGTTGCTCGTGGTGCTGGGTAGGTAGATCAGGACAATAGATGGCGTGGTTCGTAGTGCTGGGTAGGTATATCATGACAATTGATGGCGTGGTTCGTAACACCATCTTACAAACGTCTTTACTTTATGTATTTTAAACGTTTTGTCGAGGATATTATGAGGTTCCCGGGCATTTGGAGGCTTACCATTGTTCCTTATTGTCTGCGTCAACACCTCATCAAGCTTAAATGGGACCTTTTTCATTTTTCTCGTGCCTTCTTTTATGAGGGTTCAGAGTCATAAGGGTTCTACTTTAACTTATCATATGTCCACTATTGGTCGTTCATACAAACCTTTTCCTATGAAGTCCCCAACACATTTAACTTATCGGGGATATAAAACAAAACTTTGGCCATATTTCTCTTTCCCAATACAAATATAGTTCTGCCAATCCTCATTAAACGGTCGTGGGCTTACGAGACAAATGCTGCCACAAGGCGAAACACCTTCAAAACTTATTTATCAGTTAGGTCGTTTTCTAAATATTATTTAATGGTGACTGGGGTCATATCATTTAATCTATCAGATGATATAATATTGTATTCCAGCATACAACAAGCTAATATAAACAATGTTTCTCCCCGAACAAAGGCACACATCGTCAGGCCTCAGGTGTTGCCGAAAGTTAACAAGCAGTGTTTTATGTCCTCATAATTCAACGTGTTATTGGTGTTTCCCAACGTAAACAAACTACTCTACCCCTTCTACCGACGTCACCTCACCACAACAGATACAGTCAGTCAGTCAGTCATCAGATGCAACTTTTACACATCGTTAAGAATCTGGGTTAAAATTCTGATGCAACTTTTACAAATAGTTAAATTTCTGATTCCATGAGTCTTACCAACACGTACAGGTACAGTAGGTCAGTGGCCGTGTGTACAACTGTGCAATTAACATTTACACTTCCACTTGTTGACCTTGTCTCACACACACACACACACACACACACACACGCTACATAATCTAAAGGTTAATAATTATATCCTTAACATTATAATGAAATTCGTTCTGGTATATAAAAAAATTATGGTTTGTCTTGTAGAAATTAGAGCCTTGTGGACGGTGCTTAGTGGCCCTGGCAATTTTAGCTGTTAATACAAAAAATAAATAAAATAAAAGTTTAATAAGTTTACAGTAAAGTCAAATCTGTACCAAATAAATGTCGATGTTCTTAGTGATTTCATATTAAATTGTTTCTTCTCTATTACATAACTATTTGTTCTATTAAAGATTATTGTTTTGTAATCACTTAAAATAGAAATAAAACTCGTCAACGATGCTTAATAGCAGAGGTACAGTCACATTACAAAAGGCTAAATAAGTTCTCAGACGCCTAAGAAAAAACAGGGTTGGAGTACGGAAACAAGGCCCCCCACTACCCCATCCAACCACTCCTCGTCTGCCCTTTATTTACATTATTACCAGATCAGTTTCTCTTCCCTATATTAGTCGAGAGTGCGAATTTATTTTCCCAGAGTGTACTGTACCTCCAACACCATCAACAAGAGGACTCGTTGTTGGTGTACCTTCACTTCAACAACTACAAGATCTTGAAGCGTGTGTTATAGGTCAGTAAATACATCAATCATTACCAATACAAAGTGAGATGTTTATTTCTTTTAACTACGTACAGCTGCGGACAAAATTCCCTAGACACTTGTATCTGGCTTACAAGTTCTCGAGGATTGAACATAGTCTCAGGTATTTAGTTGTATTAATGAGTGATTTTTTTGGCTTCAATTTTTCCCCATTTTGTGGTACCGACATAATAGGTGATAAAACGCAGCGTTACTCATATAAACCAAAATTATTATATGACCTAGAAGATGCCAGATATTGCCAAGTGTTCAGGGAAATTTGTCCACAACTGTACACCCAGGGATAAAAGGTTTGTTCCCTCCTAGAATGAAGCAGCATCAACCCCCAAATGAGACAAAATATTACACCCACACTAGATAAAACAGTCAGGGTAAGTTAATTCGGAGAGTCCTTCATGTGACTCAGCTTCACCACGGGGAACGAACTTGTGTACCTGAGAGTTAAACGAGAGGAAGAGCAATCTCGTGACCACATGTCCCCCCTTACTGTGTAGAAGAACCTCCACTGTATGGTTCGAGGAGGTGCTCTAACATATCTTGTTCGAGGATGACTGCTTACATGAGTCAACATCATAATGGTTTGGTTAGGTTAGGTTTATAAGGACCTGCACCAGCTGTGGGGGGTAGGGTGGGGGTGATAATTAACCCTTTATTATTAACTGTTGGTACTGATAGTGTCGCCCCTCTAAGACAATATTGGTCATAGGAGTTAATGATACTGTATCCTCCCACCCACCCCACACCCACCCTACCCCCCACAACTGGTGCCTGGTCCTTATAAACCTAACCTAACCTACCCTACCCTAACCTAACCTAATCTCTTCTTACCTGTGTAAATCAAACTGACATAACAGGACACTGTGGTTCGTCACACACACACAACAAGTCCACCTTAATTGACCCTCACACAGCTAAAGGATGTAGCTTATATGAACATGATCACGTGAGGGTCTAGGGAGCTAAATTCCTCACAGCTTAAGTCCCTCCCCTGTTCTGATGTTCCTCTCTCGTGGATCTTTACCAACTCTTATCATATAAATCCTGAATCTTTTAAACAAGAAATCTATTAAATATTGACTTTGGTTATCGTGCCAAACGGTAGGTGTGTGTGTGTCTGTGTGTGTGTGTGTGTGTGTGTGTGTGTGTGTGTGTGTGTGTGTGTGTGTACTTGAGTATGATTGACATTATAATTCTTTTGTCTCAACAACAAAAAATTACTAAAGTGGCTCGCTCTCCGCCGTCGATATGCCTCTCCCCTAACTCACCCCCAGCACCTGGAGATAGTAGGAGTACACGTTGGTAAAGAGGGAGGTATGTGGCGTGTACTGTACTGGTTGGGTGACCAGACCACATCAACATTAACTACCCTACTATTAACCCAACCTAACCTAACCTAACCTAACCTAATGCTGACTAAGCCTAACCTAACCTGATGCTAACCTAACCTAACCTAACCTAACCTCACCTACAAACAAGAGAAGAGAAGAGAGGTGTGTGTGTGTGTGGAAACTGACGCCATCTGTAGCCTATATGAGGTCCAACAGACAAACTCTAATTATGTTTAGAGATATTGGAATCCTCTCTCTCTCTCTCTCTCTCTCTCTCTCTCTCTCTGTTGTTAAGTCAGCTCAGCCAAGGACAACCCCAGCGTCTTCAGAGGTTGGTGACGCTGCCTAGAGTGTTTTTGTCCTCAACATGTTGGTACATATACTGGCTATCACTGCCGCTCTCAAGCATTCTTCCTGCCGGCCGCATCATGAAGCTCCTAGTGAGTACACAATCCTGTTGTGTGTGTGTGTGTGTGTGTGTGTGTGTGTGTGTGTGTGTGTGTGTGTGTGTGTGTGTGTTATAATCATACGTTAGGGAAGTTTCGTGTAACAAGATGCCATGATACATTCAGTGTGTCTGACTGTAACTGCTTTTTTGGGTTAGGTTAGGTTAGGTTAGGTTAGGTTCTCGGTTGTTTCAGCATCAAGTGAAATAAGCTGGCGGTTGACTTCATAAGATCTCTGTTGGGTGATGATGCTCCTCTTAACCTCACAGCCAAACATTACCATCACTTGCTTTCACTTAACCCTTAACTATTATTTTTAGAACATATCTCTAAGTCTACTTGATAACTTTACTGTCAGTAGTAATATGCATAAATCCCAAGCTGGGTAAGTTGTTTTAGGTTCAGATTAACATTGTGACATAAGTGATAGTTGTTGTGTAGCATCATAAGATAGATCACGTACATTGTTATTTGCCATGTGTTGTTTACTGTCTCGTGCCTGCAGGTGTTGTGTGTGCTGGTGTGTGGTGGTGTGAGGGCCCAGGAGAACTCCACCGCCGCTGACTCTCCAGCCGACCCTCAGCCAGCTGAACCCACTCAAGAAAATGACAAGAGGGACAAGCGACACTGGTCCTACGGTCGTCCCTACCCCAGCTTTTACAATGATCCCTACCCCAGCTCTTACGGTCGTCCCTACCCCAGCTCTTACAGTGGCCCCTACCCCAGCTTTTACAGTGGTCCCTACCCTCTCCCCTACCCTGATCCAAGCCCTCTCCCCTTCCTCCGCTATACTCCTGGGCCTTACTTCCATGGCCCTGCCAGTTCCCCCTTCCGAGGTGGTATAGACCCCAGGACTCGTAACCCGGAATTAAGTGATAGAAACAACAGAAACCGGCTGGACAGAGACTACGCCCCGTTGTACGGAGGTGGCAGCTTTGTCGGAGGTGTACCTCTGTCAGAGCTGGAGAACCTTCTCCACCGCCAAGAACTGTGGTGGCAGCACAAACAGTGGCAGAGGGACCAGCTGCGGAGAGTCCCTAATGAGGACAACTACCGCCAAAGCTTGATCTCGCCCAGAAGTACTGCTGGTGAAGGAGCCACAGGACCACACCAGACACCCGGCCCCTAGTGGCCCCGTGCTCGCCCCTCAGGCACTACCCTTAGCGCCTCAGTGAGTGGCCCATCTTCCCTCCTATACAGGATGGCGTGGCTCCGGGACTTAGTGTAGTACTGAGGTGACGTAACAACTACTCTCCTGCTGCAGCTTGTGACACTGGTGGAGTCAAGTTATTACAAAAAAAAGTGAAATATTTCTTTTATATTTTGATGCCAGACACCGACCTCCCCATAAGTTATTGTAGCCTGAGGAAGATAAACTGTACACCTCACTTGTATCGCTTAATAAACACAATATAATGGAACCTTTGTCTTATTTAACCACCGTGTTAATCACTCTGCTATACGTTAACTACAGTAGCTTGTTTATTGTTACATTACACCAGCAGTACATTAATACTGTATCGTTATTGCAAGGAAAACGTAAAAAACTTCCCAACCAAACTCTGTTAATAAAGTCCAGCTTATTGGAAATAAATACAGCATTTTAGATGTACTGAAGTATGATTCTACAACAACAACAACAACAACAACAACAACAATAATAATAATAATAATAATAATAATAATAATAATAATAATAATAATAATAATAATAATAATAATAATAATAATTCTTCCCGGGGTCAAAGAGAGAGAAGTGAGCCTTTTGTTATGTGATGATGGCTCAGGCGCTATGCTACACCCAGAGAGGATACGTTACAACACCTTACTTCTGTGGTGTTTGTTCCCTCCTGTGTGGTTCACTGTGGCAGAAACCTCACCTAACCCTACCTAACTCAATCTAACCTAACCCTACCTAACCTAACTCACTCTAACCTAACCCTACCTAACCTAACTCAATCTAACCTAATCCTCCACCATATCTAGCCTAACCTAACTCAATCTAACCAAATTCTACTGTAACAATTGCTTATCAGACCAAAGCATACAGCCCAGAGAAGAACAACACTTGTAGCCACAACTGGATGACCAGGTGCACACCCACGTAAGTTGACCCACCCTACAGTAATTATAGTGAGGTCACGGTCACAAAGGAAGAGTTCTCACCGACGCACTAGTCAAGCCGGCGACATGACCGCGTTAACTCAAGAAACTACCCTCCAGCCCGCACCTGACCAAACACAGCTGTCTCGACACACCCAGATTAGTAACAACATCTGCCGGCCTGACACCACCAATATAAGGGACCAACAGCGCCTTCCCAATCAGACAGGGCGAGACAGAACTCAGAGGCAGACGGAGTCACACTCACCACCAGTCAAGGTTCGGGAGGGGAACTTCCATCCTCAGCACCGAGTCCCCAGCTAGCAGAGTCTCCCACAGAAGACAGAGTCCAGCACCCACCGGGACCACTCTCCTCAGCAGCACCTGCAGACATCCCCTAGCCGCTGGGTCTCCCTCAGGTCACATGTGAGTCATTGTCAGAGCGATCCGTGGGGTGAGTCACTTACGGTGGGAAGTGTATCCATTTCATGTTTGTGTCCGAGAGTCATTGTCTAGTAACGTCAATATTGATCCATTAATGTGTCCATGCCATTGAGTTAACTAATAAATATCTGTACTTAGAAGTATTGTTCAGAAGTTGTCCCCCAAGTATACATATAATAAGTATACATATAATAACATAAGAACATAAGAAAGTGGATACTGCAGGAGGTCAGACTGGCCCATACAGGGCAGGTCCTTTCACACCCATCCCAGCACTTCCATGTGCCTATCCAACTTCGTCTTGAAGCTCCCTAGCGTCCCCGATCCTACCATAGCACTCGGTAGTCTATTCCACATATCCACAACTCTATTACCAAACCAGTGCTTGCCTATATCCTTTCTGAATCGGAATTTATCTAATTTAAAGCCATTTGTTCTAGTTATTTCGTTATTACTGAGCTTCAGAACATCTTCCATTTTACCCTTGGTAATCCCACTTACCCACTTGTACACCTCTATCATATCTCCCCTAACTCTACGCCTCTCTAATGAATGTAAGCCTAAGTTTTCAGTCTTTCTTCATATGGAAGGTTTCTAATATGGATATTTTGTCATTCTTCTTTGTACTCTCTCCAAAATCTATGTCCATTCTATAATAAGGACACCAGAACTGAACTGCATAATCCATGTGTGGCCTCACTAATGCTAGGTAAAGTTTCAAGATAACGTCAGCAGTTCTGTTACTCACAGACCTAGATATGAACCCAGAATCCTGTTTGCCTTGTTGCGAACGCTAATACATTGTTTTCTAGGTTTCAAGTCGTTGCTAACAAATACACCTAGATCTTTTTCTACAAACTGAGTTTTCTATTTCCGTGTTACCTAGTTTATACTTAACGTTTGTATTCGTCTTCCCTATCTGTAGTACCTTGCATTTATCAGTATTAAATTCATTGCCAGTCTACTGACCACTCATGTAAGGTATCTAGATCTCTTTGAAGGTGTTCAAAGTCACTGTCTGATATCACTCTTCCCATTTGGTATCATCTGCAAATTTACTAATCCTACTAGTTATGCCTAAATCAAGATCATTAATGAATATAACAAACAGCAGAGGGCCTAATACAGATCCCTGGGGAACTCCACTTTTGACCGCTTCCCAGTCCTGACTTTAATCCATTTATGCTGACTCTTTGTTTCCTACCAGTTAACCATGACCTAATCCATTTTAATACTGATCCACCTATTCCATGTGCTTCTACCTTCATATCAATCTCTCATGAGGACTCTATCGAATGCTTTACTGAAATCTAAATAAATTATATCATATGACTTATCATTATCTACCGCTTCATATTCTGAAAAAGCTAAAGCAAATTTGTGAGACAAGAACGTCCCTGGGTGAACCCGTGCTGAGAAGAATGAATTAAGTTGAATGTTTCAAGGTGGCTTCTGATTTTTGTAGCAATAATTGACTCTGGCAACGCTCTATGATTGACGTGAGACTAATGGGACGGTAATTTGATGCTATTGATTTATCACGCTTGAAAATCGAACTACATTTGCAAGTTTAAGCTTCTGGCACTGGCCCGATTCTAATGACTTATTAACTGCTAATGGATTACTCAACTCATCTCTACATTCTTTTAATACCTCGTCTGGACGGCGTTTTATGGGAAGTTTGTTAATTACTTTACATCATCGTTACTAGTAATATTGATATTCATCAACATATTTTCTATACTGTCGTTATATATGAACTGGAAACTGTGCTAGGTTTTCATTTGTGAATACTGAGGCAAAATGACTATTTAACGTACTACATTTCTAACTCATCATCAGTCATTTCTCCTGCTCGAAGTTTAGGGGACCTATTGTATCTCAACCTTTGATTTATACAGTTGATAAAAAGCTTTGGGGTTATTTTCGATTCGTTTTACTTCATTTCATAATTTCTCTTTGCTCCTAATTTCTGTTTTTACCTGTCTTGTTAGGTTCTGATAGTAAGTAAGTGATTTTCGCCTTTCTTAACTTTTTCTATACTCCTTTCTTTTTCCTACAAGATCTAAGAGTCTATTATTCATCCATTTTGGTTGGTTCACGTATCAATCTGAATTTTCTTTTAGGGATGATGTTTATTTTGGGCATTATTGATTGTCGCAATAAATTGTTCATAAGTAGCTACTAACTTTCTTCACTTTACGATCCTACAATTATAACTCTTACTTAACCTGAGATTTATCTCATTACACTACCATATCTAATCTAACCTAACCAAACTCAATCTAACCTAATCCTATCTTATCTAGCTAACCTAACCAGACTTAAACTAACCTAACCTACCTTAACCTAACCTAGGTTAGGTTAGGTTGGGCTGTGTTACGTTAGGATGAAATAAACAAATCCAGGTAAAAAAGTCACAGGGAAAAAAGTTACAGAAAAAAGGCACAGAAAAAACCTAACCTAACCTACGTGCATCATATATAAATTGTGTTGTCAATATGTAAAAGTCATATATTGTCAGTTAATAACGTTAATATATTTTTGATTTTATTACCTTAATTGTGACTTTTTTCCTGTGACTTTATTACCGTTCACCGAAATAAACTGGGGGGGGGGGGCAAGTCTTTAGAACTAGGTAATCCATCTATTCTTTACTATCTAAAATTTGTGTTTTAGTGAATAAACTGATGCTGTATTGTGTTGTACTTTACAGAGGCGTCAACTTCCCCCGTCAACTTTCCCGGTTTCAGTCCGTGGTGAAGATCTCTACTGAACAATGACCATACAAACTAAATACTGAACCAGGTAAAAGTTTTCAGTGCCGCATATTTAATAAACTGTTTAAGTATAATTGTTTTATTGGTGTTAACATTGGTAAATACATCTGATGTGTTTTTTACATTAAGCCACGTGTTCAACTTCCACGGCTCTCTCTGTGTGGACGCCTCTCAAGACTACATGATCAATAATAGACCTTATCGTTGTCTGGGACCCGAAGGACGATAGGTACAGTAACAGTGAAGGCTGACGCCACCTTCTTTGTTTACAACTGACGAACGCGGAGAGACTGGCGTGTATAACAGGACGCGCTCTGAACATTGATGCAACAAGATGACGGGAAATGTGGTACTGTGACGCGACCTTTTGTCTGTCGGCCACAGAGGTAAACAACTTCCTGGTGACGTCAATAGGACCCTACCACTCAGAGCACGCCACGTCAGCGATGCCTAAATTTAATTATACTACTGTCAATATTGTAAACCTATACTGTGAATGACCCAATATTGCACCTATCTATTCTAATAAGTTACTTTTATTGCATTCTTACACTGTAGTTTTAAATGAATAATAAGAGAATTGGTGATCGTGTGGGACGCGATGAGAACGTTTACAGTCCCTCCACAATGTGAGGAAGAGGCCGGAGCAATACACCTGTAGCTCGTAGTGGTGTTATGGGAGATGAGTGAATACGAATGGATACCTTACAGTAAAGCGAAAAATCTTTAATAGTCAAAATAAACCTGACTTGATGATAACAAAAACTTAAATCCAATCTGAAAATCATGGATCGCTAAACAACGAAACCGCTATACTTTTTTTGGGTGGGGGTGGGATAGTGAATAATAAGGTTTTTGTCAGCCTCAACAGTGCAGGTGAGCGGATGACGTAAATGTTTAATATTTTGGAACAAAAAAGTGTTAATTTATCACCAACACTGAGGCAGCAGCTGCAGTATTTCCTCAGCACTCTTCCTCCACCTCCACGGAGGCAGCAGTAACGTGTTCCTCAAGCACTCCTTCCCTCCACACTCCACTGAGGCAGCAGCAGTAACGTTTTCCTCAAGCACTCCTTCCCTCCACTCCACAGGCAG